TATAAAATTTTATGATTTTAACTTTGTTTAATTATAGGATGAAAAAGTGGTTGCAATGAGTCAACTTCGTGCCGAAATTTTATAAGTTCATAAAAAAAAATCAAAATCTAAATATATTCAATCAAACCATACTTCCTCTACTTCCTTCTCCTCTACTTCCACTTCCTTTACTTTCACTTTCTCTACTTTATCTTCCTCTACTACTATTTCTGCTTCTCTATCATTATCCGGCCAAGACCAAACACCTGAGAGAACCAATGCGTATGAGAATATTATTTCAGAAGGTGATTGGGATGTTGTACTTAATGAATGGGAAGAATTACTAATTGATAAAGAGCTAGAAGAAGAATAGGATAACCTTGATGACACTAATATGGATATGGATTTTCTTGATTCAGAAATTCACTCTGCTGAAAATCAAGCTGCTAAATGTGAATTGTATAAATTGTTTTTATCTAATTTACCTTTTCCATTTAATATTTGAATTTATCTGCAAATCATAAGATCACAATATTTAATATAATTTACCTTAAAAAAATTTATCTATATAACTTCAATTTCATATTTATAACCCGGTAATGTATTTTAAAAAAAAATCTAAACAGACTTAGAGCTGTTATATATAAATCGATAAAGTTATTTAGAACATTTTTATATGCCCTTGTTAAATAAAATTCTTGTTCTTATGACAAATCAAACTAATTAATAAATAAGTATTCTATCTTTTTTTTTATAACAACGGAAAAATTTGCATATCATGCACAGAATTGTAAAGCTGCAGAGTATGTTATAAAAGGGTAAATCACCACCCTGAGATTACTGCAGTTCTCAACATAGCACAAATTCTAAAAATTTTGAGAATCTCAAAAATTCACAGAATTCTTAGTATTAGCATAATCATCAGAATTCTTGAAATAGTTATTATATATTATGATAATCACTATAATCATTTGTATTTTTAGTATAGTAGAATAGTTGTTATCATTAGTATTGCTAGAATTATTGGTATTATGTTACGTATATAAAGAAAAAATATATATCAGAAGACTTTTCCTTGAAATAAAGATAACTCAGTAAAGTTCTAAAACTCAGTTTGGAGTTCGGTTTAAAAACCACATAACTTTTGGAGTTCAAAGCTTTGAACTGTGTAGTAATAGTTATAATCTCTAATAAGTTCTCCTTTACTGTCAAAATCGTTTGTTGTTCTATTTTCATAATATACTCATTTGCTCTTGCCTGAAATTTCATACTTCGTATATTTTCGTATTAAGTAATTAAAAAGATAAAGTATAGATTAGTAATCAAACCCTTATATAATAAATGTTACTGATTAAATCAGTGATCGATATAATATGTAATTCGATTACATCGATGTCGTTAACTTCCTACTAATCATTGCGCAAATACAATAATTTGGCTCAACCAGGAAAATGATTGGCATACGTGCTGCGGTGTAGTATGTGTTCATTTGTCCCAGTTTGCAAATTACGATTATTTGAGTATATATCTCTGGTCTAAGTCACATGAATTTGTTTAGCCAATCATATGTAATTGTCCAATGTTTATTGCTTTTAATTAAACAATTCAGACACCTTATTTTGGACAAATTTCTATTGTCCAAATTCTATTTATGCCAACCCTAGTACTGTTGAAGATCTGTACTATCTCTCT